TTTGTTTTGCAGCTTAACTGTGGATGGCAGAATGAGATACATTTAACCACTATCACATTTTGAGAGCCATGGAAGTTCCAGAAGGGTGAAGATTAAATAGATGCATGTAACAAAACTGAACATAGGCATGGACCTGTTGCCACGCTTAGTTCTTTCAACACATCTGACTTAATACTTACATGTACAAAGCAGCATAGTGTCAGAGCACCTTGAGGTACAGAATAATAGATAACAATTTCCAGAAGTTACAAGCTCTCAGCACCAGGCTTACATTCCTCCTCCTCCTCCTCCCTCAGCCCCACCTACTTTCATCCCCATAGAAAAACCCACACATTTCACATACTTAGTAACAATCACATCAGGCTTAGTTTAAAGAAACTGACAGTTAACATATTTATAATGACAAGTGCATTTATTGAAGTAATCAAAGTTCTGCACTCTACTGGACATAGTCTCATAACTTAAAGGTAAGGGAGAAAAATCATCTGACAGGCCCCAACTGGAATATCACAAAACTCATACAACCATGTCACTTTAGAAGTACAGTTAAGCTATTCAGTCGTTTTGGTCTTCATCCCAGTCTTTCTTTCCCGATGGAGGCTTAGGACCACCAGCTGGTTTTGCCATGATGATCTTGAAAGTAACAGAGAGACAGAAAAGGTAGAGTTAGAATCAGATTTTTCCCCCATATGATGCTGTCCACACTCACTAAATTCATGCAGTTTCCCTGCTCTAAATTTATACCACTGAATATTATCCAACTAATTGATTCATGAAGCAATTTATCTTGAAAATAGCAGCGGCTGAGCCCTGGTGTAGAGTAAAGAGACAACTTTTACCTCATTTTTGCATGCAATTAGACTTCAGTTAGTCTAGGGAAAGTGTAATGCTCATGTAAGCTAACCAGTGACTGGTTTACAGGACGCATACTAGAGAAAGCATGAGAAAAATTAGTAGCACTGTTGCTTTGAATTCCTGAGTCTGTAAACATCGTGCTTTTAAAGCAGCACCCACTAGTCGTACCTTGTTAAAGGTACATTTGCTGCACTTGCTGTAGTGACATTACAAGTAAGCTATCGATAAAACTGTGCATGGCCGCCTTTCAGTGACAGCTTGGTTTTAGGAATAGGATTCATTTGCGATGGCACAAATAAGTATGCTTATTGTTACGTTTGTTAAGACAGTAATGTTGCACATGTGCTCTTAACAAATACAGATCAGCCATGTGATTGTCAATACTATTCATGCATGCATTCACACACAAGATACTTCTCTGCTGGAGAAACAGAGCTTACTGCATACTATTTTTCAGGTTCATCTTTCCAGTCATCTTTATCCCAATGTCCTTGTTGTTTAGGGGTTTTTGGACCGCCTGCTGTTTTTGCCATAATAATCTACAGAAATTTTACATGCAAACATATTTGTGCTAAAATTCCACAAAAATACCATAAAAGTGTAAGTTTTTCTCAACAAGGTTATAACCTCCATTAAATGGAATTTTCTTGTGATAAATCTAAATCCTACAAAAGTTTGGGTAACTTTTCGAATGTGGTATCAAGCGCTATCAACTTCGAAATCTTAAAAACGCAGCAGTGATAGTGCTTCTGTGGAAGTGGCAACATTGCACCATTCCAAAATACAAGTTTTTGAATAGAGTGCTACCATTTTTTAGAAATAAAACATCTGAGTTCTCAAACATCATGTTTTATGCCTTGTATTTCCAATACACTCCAGTCTTTTTGCATCAGTGTTCTGCATATCAAGTTAAAGCAGAGGTTTCGATTTAGCATCCATATTACTTCTAAGCTTACCTGATCCACCCTTAGAACAGTCACTGCAGCATTTGTAGCCAGCTTGATCCCCCAAGATTTTCCAAGGTATGTGTCTAATACACCAGCTTCCAGCATATCCTTCACAGCAGCAGCTTCAGCCTGTCAGACGGGAGAAAAAGTGGTTTTCGAAGTTTTCTCATGCTTCTGCCCAGTAACTTACTGGGTTTTCAAAGTTACGTGTTTAGAACAAAACGCAACTTTTCTGATTTTGTCTTCTCCTTTCAAAAAAAAAAAAAAAAAAAAAAAAAAACACCCTTCATTCCTAATCCATTGCAGAAAAAAAAAACAAGAAACTCCTAA